ATGCTTGCGATATTTAAAAAGAGAATTAAATAAGATTTCTGTTGATCTATCGCATGTTAGCAGTTCAATGCTATTGAGACATGTTTTAGAATTGGTAGCGCATGTTTTTTCTCGAAGTAACACCATGCAGTGTCTTGCGACGTCTCTTCAAGAGAGGTATTCTAAAAGGCTTCCAAGAGTTAAAAAAAAAATACGGTGTCCATGCATGAATACTATAAACAAGCTCTCTAGGAAGACAAAGACAGAACAATAAAGTACTAATATCACGTACAACTGTCAACTGTTTTAATTATAAAAAGTGGCAAATTGGGAAAATGTTAGAATTGTCGCCTATGGAGGAAAAACTACTACAGTACTGTTTTCCATATAGGTATAACATTAAACACATTATAACAATTTGAGTACACTTGATCACGATACGACAGACAGAAAAATCGTTAATACACACAGTTTAATGTATATACAGAACTCTACCAAATTAGGATTTTAAAATCTTTTAACTCCAAAGAGAGAAAAACAAGAAACTAGGAATAAACCATTTATACCATTAAGGTTCCTAAATGTGAATTGTCAGTCCATCAGAAACAAACAACACCAAGTCCAAAATCTTATAGATAGTACAAAGCCAGACGTAATGATAATGACAGAAACTTGGTTGGATTCATCAATCACCAACAGCCAAATATTCCCTCCAGAAAATAACATCTATCGCAAGGACAGAAAGGAAAATAAAACTGGGGGTGGAGTCCTTATCGCCATACACAACAAGTTTCTAAGCACTGAAATACCAGAACTAGACACTAACTGTGAAATAATATGGGCACGAATACAAGACACAAGGCTGCTGGACCAGACAACATCAAGCCAATAATTCTGAAAGAACTAGCAGGTGAAATTGCTCCAATCTTAACCATCATATACATTTTTTCAATGGAAAAAGGAAAGATACCCGATGACTGGCGAACTGCAAATGTCACTCCGGCATATTAGAAAGGCCAGAAATACATAGCAGCTAACTATAGGCCAATATCCCTAACATGTATTTGCAGCAAAATAATAGAACACATAGTCACCAGTAACATCATGAAACATACAGAGGTAAATAACATCCTATACCCACTACATCACGGCTTCAGAAGTAAAAGATCATGCGAAACACAACTCCTTGAATGTATCGATGACATCACAAAAAGCCTGGAAAACGGAAAACAATCAGATCTGCTAATACTTGACTTTTCAAAAGCTTTTGATAAGGTGTCCCACAGCTTACTCCTCCATAAATTACACCATTATGGCATCCGAAGTAAAACAATCAAATGGATAAAGGAATTTCTCACCAACAGAACCCAGGTAGTAGTTGTTGAAGGCGAAACATCTGACAAAGTAAAAGTAGAATCCGGAGTACCGCAAGGATCAGTATTAGGACCCAGTCTTTTTCTGTTTTACATCAACGACCTACCAGAAGGCTTACACTCCACAGTATGACTGTTTGCGGACGATACTGTGGTCTATTTGACAATTTTATCAGACAGCAACTGCCATACACTCCAAGAAGACCTGGACAAACTGGCAAAATGGGAAGAACTCTGGAAAATGGAGTTCCATCCTGAAAAATGCAGTGTCCTCACAGTCACAAAAAAGAAAAAGCCAATCAAGTGGGACTATAAACTCCACGGCCATACTCTGGTGCATGAAACATCAACTAAATACCTAGGCTGAACCATTGCAAATGATCTAGATTGGGGAGAACATATAAACAACATCACAGGAAAAGCCAGCCGAAGCCTTGGTTTCCTACATCGAAACCTCCACATTAGCTCAAAATCCATCAAAGAGCATGCCTATAAAATATTAGTAAGATCGCAAATGGAATACGCCACGACAGTATGGGACCCGTACCAGCAAAACCACATAGATAAAACTGAAAAGGTACAAAGACAAATATCCCGTATCCCTAAAACTATTTTGAAAGATCCCAAAAAATCATTAATTCATTCCCAAACCCATTTTTGTATACAACATTCGTAAATACATATTGAGCGTTGTAGTATGGATGTCAAGGATGTGGACTTTTTCACAGAGAAAAGTTAATCATTCAGAATTATCCAGAGACCTTTAAATTTTAATCTACATGTCTCTGGAATAACCGATATATAACTAAGCGTTTGTAACAAATAAAAAGTTACTGTAGAGATAAGCGTGAGCCACCAAATGTGAGCTCATCAAAGGCACGTAGCTAAGAGAATCACCCAATGTGAACTCACAGATGACACGTCGTTTTAATAGAAATGCTAAGAAGCAAAAAATACAATTCTACAATAAAAAGAAAGAACGGAATAAATATAATATGCAGCAAAGAGCTGCACATGCAAAAAAGCATGTAGTTAATCTATTAAAACGCAAATTATCAAATCAGGAATATATCCTGTTGGCGAAAGGCTTGAAATTTATACCAACGCCATCAAGCAAAAATGCAAAAATGTCTATACTAAAAGACTACAGTGAATTTGCTAGACAACTGCGATATCGATATATGTTCAGTCATGAAGAAAAAAATTGTAAGGGTTCCGCGGAACCCAGTGTCTCGCCTACTTTTGCTGTTAATCGCAGGCTCAACAAAAATGAGGAAAAAAAATAATAAAAATATTCCTCTCGATACTATCTTTTGATTGTAAGAAGCTTCTGTCCAAGTTTGGTAAAAATCCAGGATAGTTTATGAATCTAATAAATGTTTTAAAAACTTTAACTGCAGACTGTATGTAATGTTAACTGGAAGAAAAACTAAGTCCATTTATAAGTAAAATACAGAAAAACAGGTACAAAATTTTAACAAAATTTCCTTCTAGATACTAGCTTTTGATCATAAACACGCTTCTGTCCAAGTTTGGTACAAATCCAGGATAGTTTAAGAAAGTTCTTAAAATTTCAAAAACTTTAACCACAGAGTGAATATTTGTGGACGCCGCCGCCAACGACGACGACGCCGACGACGGAATGTAGGATCGCTATGTCTTGTTTTTTCAACAAAAATCGAAGGCTCGACAAAAATGACCTTCATCCATTTCATAGCAATACAGGATATAAACCTGCTTTTACGTGCCATACGTCGGAAAATTATATCGATTTAACAAAGCTTGAATTATCTTTTCTAATAAATAAAAAAAACAATCTTACTAAGGGCGAAAGAATAGCAAGTACGCAATTTGAAAAATGATGAAACAATAGTAATAAAAAAGGCAGATAACAATTCAAATTGTGTTATTTCAGACAGACTAGACTACATAACAGAAGTCACAAGACAACTAAATACTCAATATTACTGCCTATTTTTAAAGGGGCATTGGTTGTCAAATTCATGTTCATCGATTTGACTCAAATTCTCATATTTGATTTATAGCATACTAAAACATATATCCAAATTATAAAAAGTATAAAATAAACAATTTACAAGGCATGCATGGGCTCGATAATATGTTTCATCGTTTCTAGTGTAGTTTAGTCTAGACGCCATCTAATTAACTATCGAGTTGACCTCCGAAGACTGCCGACGGTCATATAAGCGATTTATAAACATAAATATAGATATAAATAGATAGCAAACTCGTGCAATAGGATTTTTCTAGGTCTGTTTAATTTTATATTATAGGTTAAAAATATAGGGACGATGGATTCATAATATATGATGGAACATCAGATGAAATTGCAGATTCTTTTCGTCTAGCAAATAATTATAACCCCTTATTGAAGTCCACCTATGAAATCTCAAACGACAAAATGTCGTTCTTAGATGTTCATGTAATTAAAGGTCAAAGATTTACAACACATGGCATTCTTGACCTTGAAATACATTTTAAAGTAACAAATTATTATCTCTATCTGCATAGAAATAGCTGTCACTCACAGCCGAGGATTTATTAAAGGTAAAGCAATACGACAAATTAGAAACACAAATGACCATAACAATTTAATAAACAATCTAACTAATTTCAAAGTGAAATTATTAGATAGGGTTATGATAACGTCGAAATAGATGATAGTATTACTGATGCTAAATATCAATTGACCGTACTGAATTATTACAGCAAAATAAATCGAAGGAAAAAGAAAATATTCCGTTAGTTTTGATAACTAAATATAACCCATATATATATATACGTAAAATAAAGAAACGGGCATTTATTACAGTATGACGAAGATTGTGTATAAATATTCAATGCTGCACCAATAGTTGCGTATAGCAAACATAAAAGTGTTGGAGATATGCTTAGTAGATCAAAGTTGAAGACTTTAACATAAAATTGACAGTTGGACCCCTGATGATGGCAGATCTGTCATAATAACTAGACCTATTGATGAAGAATTAAAATATAAATATATCAATATATACATGAATAATTTATCCCTAAAATTAAAATGGCAAATATCCCGTATCCCAATATACCCTATACAAGCCTCACAGTGAGTTACCCAGACCATTAAACTAAACTGTGCACGATTTTTTAGTTACCTTTATTACGAATCCATAACATATAATCAGGTACATAAGATAAGATAAAATAGCTTTATAAGCATGGTTTTACACTAGTAATTTATTGGGGCCCTTTATAGCTTACTGTTCGGTGTGAGCCAAGGCTCCGTGTTGAAGACCGTACTGTGATCTATAATGGTTTACTTTTATAAATTTTGACTTGGATGGAGAGTTGTCTCATTGGCACTCATACCACATCTTCTTATATCTATCTTCTAACACATTAACAACAAACTGGTTCAATTTGCATTATATCATCTAACTTATGTCTCTGATATAATCGACAAAAACTGTTGAAAACGAAGATATACATTTATCAGTCAGATCTGAGTCGGATACAGTGAATATCTATTGGGTCCTACAATGATTTGTATTTAGATGTCACTATACAAATCTGGTCCCCATCATCTAATAGACTCACAATAGACATAACGACAAAAATGAACAATTTCCAGTTCATTGCTTTCCCCCTTCTCTTTCAAACCCCATGAGGAATGGAGTCCACAGTCACTACAAAAACAGTAATTGTAGGCGCAGGCCTAAGTGGTAAGAATTATTTAACCGTTTGAAAAGCATTTAAAATATGGGTCCTACTAAAAAGCGCCTGGGGGAAAGAAAAAGCGCCCGGGGAAAACATATTGTCATATTATAGATATTGTATTGGCATGAGACAACTTTGTGTCGATGAAATAAGTTATGCACATTGATTTTTTTTAATTGTAGACAAGTATTTTGCAAATTCAGATAATAGACATTTGTAATAAAGCACAAAAACAAGTATGAATGTTTCAATTTTAACAATAATATATGAATACTATTTCGAAAGACAGATAATAATGGATCACAGTTTATGCTGAAGATTTATAAAATGTTAGATGTAATGCTTGGGGTAATTGAACAATTTTGTGTAGTTTGACTATAAGGCCCGGGTGTTTAACAGCTTTCCAATTTGTCGATAGTTTTTAAATATTATTCATGGATTCACATGAATTGTTCTTCCAGTTAATTGGGGCAATGTCTTTTTGTGTCGGTTCCCAGACATAGCTCTTCAGAGATGATGTATTACTGCTAAAATAACGCTGAAATGCGTGAACACTGTGCTCATACTTCGCTTCCAACTCCATTACCTTTAGGTCAAACTCAACATCATCTTGAGAAGGTAGGAGACCATCTACGCCAAAAACATTGTTGAGCACAGTGTGTAATTTGGGTCTTTTTCGCCAATGACTTTCCGCAAATGTCTCTTAAAATGATATTTTTAGATTCTGGTGAGCAGAATTTTTTCAGATCGAGAAGCTGTTCATCAGTATACACTACTACTGATAGGGGTTTGCTGGAGATCACAATTGTTGCAGCAGATGCTTGCAATTTTACAATTTTACGGCATATTCCACAAGGCTAGAATATCATATTTGCCTTAGCAGTGGGTTTAACTTTTCTTTTCTTAGTGGCAGGCATGTTGAAACCCTTCCATGATCTTCCACCGTCAATTCAAGTGTGTTTAATAAAATACAAAACTTTGAAAAGTGTTCACCAAGCAGTTGCGAATATTAGACCTCAGGCACTGATTTTTTTTAAATAACGAAATATACGTTTTGATCGAGGACAATATTGTTCATGAATCTTCTATATACTCTTGTTTATATTTACTAACTTACTTATATACAATTTTGAAATCTAAAATGTAAAAGTGCAACAACACTATCTACACACTTTAGATGTAGCATCGTACATATCCCCATTTATATTAAGGACAAAACAAGCAATGATTATTTTTTTTTATTCAGGAAAACATTTATTGTCATAAAATATTATTATTTTATTCTCCCGGGCGCTTTTTTTTCTTCCCCGGGCATTTTTTCTTTTCCCCGGGCGCTTTTTCTTTTCCCGGGCGCTTTTTAGTAGGACTGTAGAATATTATAAGATAGCTGCCTATCTGCCAACTTTTACAAATCTCAATGGGTGATTTTAAGCACAAGAGCCTGATGAGGAGCTGGTGCATACCTTTACATGTCATTACTGTACTTTATTAGAACATTCATGGTTTTGAATAAGTATACATGTCTAATCTTATGTACTTGTATGTAATGTGATGAAAGGTCTTTATAGGGCCCTTTAATTGGAAATAAAATATTCTTATTCTTATTCTTATTCTTATTATACATGTGTTAAAATGTATTTTTTTCTCCTCTAAATGCCTTTTTTTTCTCACTTGATTCGGCCAAAGACATTTCATAAGTGTCTGTGTCGGCACAACCAGTGTTTTTTTCGTCTCTAAGCGATCAATATTTATACTAAATAATCAAGGGTCTAACTTGAATAAGTTATTAGAGAAAAATTACATACATTTGTTATTGTTGACTAAAAAATCCCAAAAGTTGGATAACATATGTATGTTTCAAAGGGGCAGTATACATCCTTTGTTTTGTTAAAATGTATACAAGTTCTATTGATATTATTATTGTCTATATGCATACTAAACTTATAGAAAGATATAGTTTGCCAATCAAGCATCTGTGTTATTACAGAAAAAAATATACCTGTTATAACTAAAGGGTGGTATAACAGCTACCCTAAATCATTTCAAAGCCTTTGTCATGCTTAATCACAATGTATTTTGATATATTGTAATTAATAATAATCAGAGCATAAAATGAGGTACAAGCTTCCAAATAATTACCAAGTGTCCCATTCTAAATTATATGCCTGTAAAAACTAAGCCTTGTTATTACAGCTAAGTTTCATCACTTAAAAGCCTTGTCTCATTGATTTACCATGGTTGATCAAAAATTATTTAATTAGTCCCCTACCAAGGAAGTCAAAGGGGACTTTAGGTTTGCACTCCGTCCGTCTGTCTGTCCGTCTGTCCGTCTGTCTGTCTGGCCTTCTGTTAGTCCGTCAAATCAGCTTTCCACATTTTTTTTCTTCATGCTTGAAGATATTGATTTGATATTTGGTATATTGTTTTATCATGACAAGTTACAGATCAAGTTTGAATTTTGTTCCGGTCTGATAATTAAGTCCAGAGTTCTGGACCATATCTAATGTTAGAGTACTATGTTAAACCATATTTCTGTACAAAGGTAGATAACTCATTTTTAGCTAACCGGGGCCCGAAGGGCCCCATGTGAGCTTATGCCATCACTTGGCGTCCGTCGTCGTCTGTCGTCGTAAACTATTTCAAAAATCTTCTCCTCTGAAACTGCTGGGCCAAATACCTTCAAACTTTAACAAAATGTTCCTTAGGGTATCTAGTTTATAAAGTGTATCCGAAGTTTTGATCCATCGACAAACATGGCCGCCATGGCTAAAAATAGAACATAGGGGTCAAATGCAGTTTTTGGCTTATATCTCAAAAACTAAAGCTTTTAGAGCAAATCTGACATGGTGTAAAATTGTTCAATTGGTAAAGATCTATCAGCTCTGAAATTTTCAGACGAATCGAACAACCCATTGTTGGGTTGCTGCCACCGAATTGGTAGTTTTAACAAAATTTTGCAGTTTTTTGTTATTATTTTGAATATTATTATAGATATATATAAACCACTGTGTATCATCGCCACCGGAAATTGGGTACTAACGAAGCGGAGAGAAATGGAAAAAAAAGTAAACAAGGTAAGAATTCATTCAATTTAAAGCATTTCTACTGATTTGACGAGGGTACCGCTTAAGAAATGATTTTCTGATATATAATTCTTTAAATCATTAGGCCGATAAGTACAAAATTAAGACAATATTTTGTGTTATACTCCAAATCTTGCCACTTAGTACCTGAAAATTTCGAGGTCGATTGTCCTCTGTCGCCCCATTGGCAAGATATTCAACTGTTTTTCATTATTTTTCCAGACACGTTTTTAGATTATGATAGTATGACATCATATTGACTGAAATCTGTTGTCATAAAGATGTTTTTAAAGAATATGGACCAAAACATTGTTTGTTTATTGTACGGCGAATTGCAGGACGTTGTACGGCGAATTGCAAAATAACAACTTTTGTCTGTACGGCGTCTTGCAATATATTGTAATTTAAAGATGAAATTAATCACTGTATAGATAATATCAAGTGACGAAATTTTGGCTGTATCAAAGCTTTACCGGCTTACAAATATACAAAATAAACTACTTATCAAATATTATAAGATATATGCCGTTAATTTCGTTCAGAAGTCGTCGTTGCGTACCTCTATTTGACTTTGTGTTTTTAAAGACAAAAAGTTTTTTTTCAACCATATTATCCTAAATACATTCATATATCGTTATAATACTAACGACTGTTGTCTTATTTGTTGTCAGGGTGAAATTTTGTAAGTTCAATAAAAAAAAACCGACCATTCATCTTTTGTTGGCGCTTTTTTTTTTTTAAATATAAACAGTGGAGATGTTGTATGATTGCAAATAAGATAACTATCCACCAGGGTCAAATAAAGTGTATGTAAGCAATTATATGCTATCGTTTGGCCTTCAACAACGAAAAATCGTACCTTACAGTCGGCTATAAAAAGCCCCGACATGAAAATTGTGGAAGGATTCAACAAGAAAACTAACGGCCTAACTCATAACAAAACAATTAACGAAAAATAACAAATATGATAGAGATGAACCAACGACAACCACAAAACTACAGGCTCGTGGCTTCGGACAGACACATAAAGAATGTGCTGGGTTAAATAGATATAGGAAGATGTGGTATGAGTGCCAATGAGACAACTCTCCATCCAAGTCACAATTTATAAAAGTAAACCATTATAGGTCAAGGTACGGTCTTCAACATTGTTTATTGTTTATTTTTTAAATTTCTGAAATGAATAATTTGTTAAAAGAAAAGTGAAGAAAATACTTTGTTTTCATTGAAAATTAGGAGAAATAAATCATGAATTGTGTTTCGAATTAATTTTCTTGTTTCTTATTGAAAATAAGATTCTATTTTTTGAGTTTAAATAAATTCAATCAATCTTTTTATTTACAGGGAAAAAATAATAAAAGACTCTTGCTAAGGCTGTTTGGCCTAAACTTAAATGAGTAGATGGAGGGGTAGTGAAAAGGAGTGTATTCGTCCGAATTTTCATTGTTACAGTAGTACATTTTCATGATTACTATGTATAATATTTCTCAGTAAATTTTAATGTGATATTGTGCCAATTAAAATTATATAAATAATACAAGTAAGACTTGCATTTGCCTTAAAAGATATAGCAGTACGTGATTATTTGTTTTCAAACACACCTTCTCTGTTTTGAAACTTATAAAGGTATGGATCTAGGCCTATCTGTTTGGTTGAATATAAATGTGAATTCATAGAGTTTCAAAATCAACAGTAAGCCCTATTTTTGTGTGTGTGTAAATAATCTAATCTTTAGATAGATGCTAAAATTAAAATCATTTTTCTTAATACGAAGAAAAAAGTGCAACTTCAGCACGCCAGAATGTAAAAAGGTGTACCCGACTTATTCGTTCACGATAAGAATTTACAGATTTCGGTATTTTAACAAAACTGTTTACGAGGGCAAATAAATAAATGAACGCTATCAAATCAACATTTAAATT